CGGCTGCGGTGTGAAGTCGGGATCTACCGTGTAACCGTGCTCGAAGAGTGCTGTGAGAAGTGGATGGCCGGCAGTAACTGTGAGGCTAGTGAGCTGGCAACTAGGGCGAGTGAGCGGATCTGCTGGGTTGCGCACGCCTGGCTTATACTCGATCCTGTAGTGGAAACTCCCCTCCATAAACTCCATCCATCTAGCCTGGCGACGACTCAGCTGCGGCTGCGACTTGAGAAAGCGAAGCGAGCAATGGTCCGTGCGTATAACACTATCTGCCCCCTCTAGGTAGCACCTCCACACCTTATACGCATGGATAATCGCGAGCGCCTCCTTGTCGTGAATCGGATAATTCAACTCTGCTCCCCTCAGCTTACGCGACTCGTACGTGATCGGCTGCAACCCGCGTCCCTGGTCCTGAAGAAGCACTGCTCCTATGGCCTGATCTGAAGCGTCGGTCAATACAACGTACGGGCGAGTGGGATCTGGGTACGACAGTGTCGGTGAAGACGTGAGCGACTGCTTCATCTGCTCAAACGCCTGCTGCTGCGCTGGACCCCAATCAAAATCTACGCCCTTCTGAAGTAGGTCGGTGAGTGGACTAGCGATGGAAGCATAACCCTGAACGAAACGACGGTAATAATTAGCGAATTCGAGGAAGCTCTGCAACCCCTTGACTGAGGTCGGTGCTACCCAATCCTGTACGGCTGCGATCTTCTTCGGGTCGGTCCTAATGCCACTAGCGGATACGACGTGACCTAGCAACTCGACCTCGGGGAGGAAGAACTCGCACTTCGACTGCTTAGCGTACAGCTGCTCCTTCCGCAAAACCTTGAAGACCTTCTGCAAGTGTTGCACGTGCTCCTCTTTTGTCTTGGAGAAGATTAGGATGTCGTCTAGGTAAACTACGACGAACAACCCTAGGAACTTGGAGAGGACGGTGTTCATGAGCGTCTGAAATGTCGCTGGGGCGATGGTCAAACCGAACGGTAGAACCCTAAACTCGTACAACCCCTGCTTCGTACGAAGCGTTGTCTTGTGCTGATCCTCTGGAACTACGCGAATCTGGTGGTAACCCGAACGAAGGTCGATCTTTGAGAAGACTCTAGCGCCCTGCACTGCATCGAGAAGATATTCTAGTCTCGGCACCGGGAACCTATTCTTGACGGTGGCGGCGTTCAGTGCGCGGTAGTCTATGCACATCCGAAACCCTCCGTCTTTCTTAGGCGCGAAAAGGATTGGTGCTGCCCAAGGCGATCTAGATGGCGGAATGAAACCCTGTGCGAGAAAGTGCCTAACCTGCTGCATCATCTCCCCTGTCTCCACTGGACTCAACCTCCACTGCGGCTTCGCTACTGGTCTGCTTCCCAGCTCCAACTCTATCCGATAGTCTACTGCTCTGCTGGGAGGTAACCCTGGGGGCAACTCGTCGGGGAAGACGTCTGCGAACTCTGCTAAAAGTGCACTCACCTCAGCAGGAAGAGTCGCCTTCACACCAACTGCTGCACTCCCTCCTTTCCCCTCCTCAGCTTCCACCTCCTCAAGAAAAACCGCAAAGATCCGTGCCGCGCGCTTCACCAGCTGCCGCATACGAACAGCATTGATGATAGCTGTGGATGATGTGGCCCCATCGCTCCACTATGGCAGCTCCCGGAACTCGCCATCTACCTTGACGCTGCAGCTTCCCTGAGCCCAATCGAATTGAGTACTAACCGTCCGTAGCCAATCCCTACCGAAGATGAAGTCGTAACCGTCCAGCGTCGCAGAGTCGAAATCACGCCTAACTGTGATGGGTCCTAGCACTACGCGCAACTTGCGAATGACCGGTCCTATGTGAAGTGACGTCCCATCTACCATACGCGCGTCCTTGAAGTTGACTGGCGAATCTGCTTCGAGATGGAGACGACTAACTAATGAAAAAGAGACGAACGAGTGGCTAGCTCCGCTGTCTACGAGAATTTTGACTGGAACACCGCGAAGCTTCCCTAGAAGTACGAATGGACGATCAACAGCGTCTACCGAATTCTGCGTAGATGACTGCTCCAGAGCTGTCTCCTCTACATCGGTGGACTTGGCGGGTTCGGAAGCGTCACACCAGCTAGCGACCCGCTATCTACTGGCGGTCTCCGTTTCCCTGCTGCCGCTCCTTAAGCTGTGGGCAGTCCCGCTTCATGTGTCCCGGCTTTTTGCAGTAGTGACAGTTCCCCCTAAAACTCGTTTTCTGTGAGCCGTCACTGTTAACTGCACCACTCTCCATGGGCGACGGTTCGTCCCTCGATCGAGCGTCGTTGATCGGTCTGTTGTATCCCCTATTGTGATCGTCACGACCCCGTCGGCTTCGTACTGCGTCGACGCGTTCTGCGGCTGCGACAACTGACTCGAAGGTGGACAACCCGTGAATCGCTATAACTTCCGCTATGTCCGGCTTCAACCCTTCGAGGCAGCGATCGCACATCTCTGCTTCCGTGATGTCGTCTATTTCGTTGCAGATGCTCAAGAACCGCCGTGTGTACTCCTGGACGTTTCCTATCTGTCGGAAATGACGCAGACGCTTCCTAGCAGCTTCGGAGGCGTTCACCAAGTCGAACCTACTTTTCAGCGCCGCTTCAAATCCTTCCCATGTGGTCGGAACCGTGGTAACATTCAAAGCTAAACTCCCTAAGCTCGAAGTTGCAGCTGCATGCCCCACGCCCTGTTGTTGCCCGTCTGTCTTAGCCCTTCTTACAGCAGTTTGCGTGAGTTGGCGCCACCACTCCAAGGCCGGGCCCCTCAGCAGCGTAACGGAGTTCTCGATCCGCTGCTGCGCGTCCGCCTCTTGCACCCCGCTCGCGGCGAAGTAGTTGTTCAGCATGAAGAGCCACGTCCGCACGTTCGCGTCGCGCTGACTTGGGTCGAACGACTCGGGTTTCTGCGGCTTGAGTGCGCTTCGACGTTCCGGCAGCGCTTCCGTGCCAGTCGACGTGTTGGGTGCAGGAGATGGTGCGGCATGACCATGAGAAACTGACGCGAATTCACGAAGCCGTTGCATTTCAGCCCGTACCTGACGATTTTCCAACGTCAACTGTTCGAGTTGGTGCATGAGTTGAGCAAGCGTGTTGCCCATGTCGTTGGGGAGAGCGTTCATGGTCTCGTCTATGTTGGCTCGACGACTCCAAGTCTGCAAGTCGGCACCGCGGGACGATGACGTCGTAGTCTCGTCGTCGACGGTCGCTCGTTGGAAGTCGCCCCGCGCGAAGGCTCCTGATACCAAGTGTTAGGCCCGCTGGCCTAAATCCGCTAAAGATTAGCGGGGTCGACTAAGTCGAGGATAAACGCGGCGGAAGACTTTGGCGAAAGAGAGTGTTGGCGAAATAGGTGAAGAAGTAACTGAGTAATTAAAGAGTTGAATGAGAATTGATTAATTATGGCAAGTACAAGCAAGGTTGATATAGCATGCAAGATCGAATGTCGGAAAGTACTTCGTGTGACTAGGAATTGAAGACAAGAAAAGTAGAGTGCCACGTGGCACTAGGAAATCTAGGAAGATAAGGATAAGGGTGAGTTGGAAAGTATTGTTCGGAATGAACAGTAAATCCCCCCTTAACACTACCCCCCTCCCAAGGAGGCGACGTCCGCGGCGCCTGCAGACTGGAGGTACGCTTTCCTATCCTCTCTCCCCTCCTCTCACGTTGCCCTCGATGCAGTCGTCGCCTTTCCTCTCTCCCCTCCCATCACCCACCTCGGCGCTTTCGCGTTCGCCCCGAAATGCCTGCAAGTCGCCCTTCGTTTCTCCCCTCCCATCTCCCAACACCCTACCATTCCGCAATTTTCGCTCAATCAGCGCTCTCCGTGCGCTCTCGTTTCCTTCTACCTATTCCTTTTTATCTCTAACCCGAAACTCTCTGTTTTTTCCCGCAGTTCTGCTTTTCCTATGCTGTTTTTGCCGCCCCAGCAGGCACATGTCTAAGGCGTTTGTTGTGTGTGAATTGAACATGCAACACTTGTTGAAATTGGCCCCCTCGTGTGATTGGGATTTGCACGTCGCCAACTTGCGACACATGCTTGCGACGTTTTTTGTAAAAAATTGTGTGAAGACTTGAACGCGTCTGAAAAACAAAACAGAACAACACTTAGACCGTCAGAACCTTTACAAAGTTAGTTTGAGTTTTCAAGTGGACCCACTAGAAGGGGGGGGGTCACTATTTTAGCTGCTGGCTTTAACACTTGCACCAAGTCTCTTACGCCAATCCACATCATGCGTTCCCTCAAAGCCCATCCCAGCTCCCCGCGCAGCAGTCGCCCTTGCACATTGTGCGGCGCGATGATGAGCGATAATCGCAAGCGGCTGGATGAGAGAAGGGAGACTGCTCTCCCCCCATCAAACCCTCACTCTTCCTTTTGTCAAGCCCCACACAGCCCTCGAAAATCAGTTAGCTGGCGAGCCCCCTATTCGAGATGAGCTCCCGAACCATTATTGCGGCGCTGTTGTCCATCATTCTGACTCACGGTGAGTCAGACTATGCGCAGTACGCGGCGGTTGTAGCCTGCGTGTAGCACTAGCGGGCGACCACCTTTTCCGTGCTGCGCATTTGCGCGGCGGCGCCATGCTCTTCGTTGGCGATTAGCCAGCCCGTCATCTGCTGCTCACCTTGATGGCGATCAGCCAGGCATTATTGCGGCCGCGCTGCCGCCCTCTAACTCCGAGCCGGAGTTTCGCGCACCACACGGTACTAGCTTCACTGTCAGCGTGCTTACCGATAGCTCTCTCCGCATGCTGCGCGTTGTGCGCGGCGGCGCCATGCGAGCAATAACGGCGAGGTGCTGCCAGGGAGGAGTACGGTCATGGTGGCCTGCCATCGCAGCTCCCTCCACCACCCTCGCCTCCTCCTCGTTCCTTACTTAAAATCGCCTCCGTTCCGCCACTCACCACCATCTGAGTTGCTTCTCTCAGTGCTCAACAAACAACCGAATCTGATCCTCACCATCGCTCGCACTGCTAATCTCTCTAAAACCCCCGCGCAACCGTCACCATGGCTACCCTTCGCTCCGTGTTCGTCCTCGCCTTGATCCTCGTCTCCCTCCCCGCGCTCTACGCCGCGTCCGCGCCACTGCGGGGCGACGATGCTGCTGCCAGTGGAAGCGCAGCCGTGGACGCGGCGGCGAGGTGGGGCCGCACGCTGCTGGAAGCGAGCAGCGGCTCCGCCGCAAGCGGCGCAGACGTGGACCACGTGGGTGGCGCAGAGGAGGAGGTGGCCGCGGACGGGCTGGACGAGGCGGTGCGGGTGCTGCTGAGCCCGGATTCGTGGAAGAGCGTCGTGGATGGTATGCGGAGGGAGACGAAGTGGAGGGCGGCGGCCGCGGCGAAGGCGGGAGGCAAGGCGAAGAAGGGCGGCGTGGATGGTGTCAAGGGTGCGGCGAGCGCGCACAGCAGCGGCAAGGGCAGGAAGGGCGCAGCGGCGAAGATCAACTGGAAGAAGATCCAGGAGGAGGCGAGGAACGCCGTGGTGAGCAAGGCGGGAGGGCTGGCGCAGAAGGGCGACGTCGCTGCTGGGGGAAGCGCAGGCGTGGGCGCGGCGAGGCGGGGCCGCAAGCTGCTGGAAGCGAGCAGCGGCGCGGCTGCAAGCGGTGCTGACGCGGACCTGAACCAGCTGGACGTGCACGTGCGTGGCGAGGAGGAGGAGGACGGGCTGGACGAGGCGGTGCGGGTGCTGCTGAGCTGGAAGAAGATCAAGAACGGGATTAAGAACGCGGCGAGCAAGGCGGGAGGGGTGGCGAAGAAGGTGGTGCAGAAGGGCGGCGTGGACGCGCTCAAGGCGGCGGCCAAGGGGTTCAGCAACGGCGGCATGAAGGGCGCGCTCAAGGCCGGCGGTACCTCGCTCGCTCGCACCGCGAAAACCATGGCGTAGAGGGAGAGGGGCGGTGCGCGAGGAGGTAGTGGGAGATGGGCGTAGTGGGAGATGGGCGTAGCGGGAGCGAGGAGGTGCGGGGGGCAAGGCGGTGTGGTAGAGTGTAGCAGGTGGGGCAGCAGCAGCCCAGCTGCTGTGGTGCTGCTCATGGTCGTGAAGGTGGTGGTGCTATTGCGGCTGCTGCTACTGGATGCGGATTGCACTTTGCAACTTGGGGAAACAGTAGGCTAGGCATGTGTGAGGGGGGAATGTGTGTTTGGGGGAAGGGGGTGTGTGAGGGTTGGGTTGGGTAGGCAGGGCATATGTGTGCGCAGTTGAAAATGTACGGTAATGAGCATGGCTTTCAATGTGGGTCGCAGAACCCAAGAGTATTTCCTTTGCAGCACTGGAACAGTAAAGAAATCTATGGCACAGTCAGGTCAGGGCAAAGGCAGTGAGGAGCAGCAGTGGTAGTAGCCCTGGTCATCGTATCTGAATCTCTGCGACAGATGTACCTCCCCCAGACGCACCTCCCCCCACTCCGTGTCCCCATGCTGTGCCACGACGAGGGAGGCATCGAAAGGCATCCGGGCATGGCGATGGGGGCTGGGGGAGGAGCAGAGCAAGGTGAGGAAAGGTGGGGGATGGGAGAGTGGGTGGAACGAGACAGACAGGCGAACAAGGACCGCAGCAGGTTGGGAAACTCTGGTTTCAAGTGATGTTCGTGGTGAGGAAGGCAGACAAGACGAAAAGAGAACTAATCCAGGAAGGTAATGGGAGGATGGAAGATGTTTGAGTGGATTGGATACGATCAGCGATTGGCTGCTGTGCTGTATGCACAACACACGCTTGCGCAGCTGGTGCGCACACACACACCAACCTCTCACCTACCTGTTTTACAAACCCAGATACCCTCCCACACATAATCAATCTCCCACTCCTAATCCCTCCCGCACCCATCCAATCTCCCCACAACCACCCTTTCACGAAGGTGGCGTGCACCTGGTGCGAACACACCAGCCTCTCACCTCACCTCCTGCTCTCCTGCACCCTCATCACCTCGCACATCCACCCACCCCCTCCACACCCACCCTTTCCGGTGGCTCGTGTTCATGATGGTGGCGTGCAGCTGGTGGTGGTGGGGGGGGAGGGGGTGGGGGTGGTGTGGTGGAGCAAAAGAAGCGGCGGAATGAGGAAGTTTCGGAAGGGGAAGAGAAGGTCGGGTGGGGGAGGGGGAGAAGGACGGACGGGAAGAGAGAGGAGAGGGGGGGTGGGAGGGGATGTGGTATGGCAAGGAGAAAGAGAGTAGACTGTAAGAGAGACAGATAAAAACAGGATTTCTTCACTCTAATGAGGTGACTTGCTTCTGACATACTGAACTTTACAGTGAACACTCTCAAATAAGGTGGATTAGATTTCAAGTCGTCTCAAATGTCACCTGCTTTCTGAAATGACCCCAAATGTATGGCGTCAAACACCCTTCCCCGCTGGCAAGAGCAAGGACGCTGCTACGCCCCCGCATGCTCATCCAGTGCTAATCCACAGCTCACCTTAAGCGGCTGATGGCAGTCCCTAGGTGTGACTAGCCCTGCCTCCCTGCACGCTGCCCTCAGCACCTCTGGAATGGATGGAGGAGTTGGGAGAGGGAAGAGAGGTGTGGAAAAGATGGATGGAAGCAGGGACTGGCCCTGCCTCACTGCCCTGCCTCACTGCCCTGCCTCTCTGCCTCACTACCTGCCTCCTAGCATCGGGACGCAAAGCGTAAATGAGAATGAAATAATGCTTCCTCGCCTCCTTGCTCATGCCGAGATGCAGGCAGACCTAGTGCAGCGTGGAATGCGTGGCATGCGTGGCGTGGCGTGGCGTGGCATGTCCTGCCAAGAGCACTCACCGCAGACGGCACGGAGGCGGTTGCCCCCATCCACCTCCTGCATGTCAGCATACAGCACATGCGCCTTGGAGGGATGCCCCCGCATGCACTTCTGCACCCAGGGAAGATGAATGGTTGAGGGGTGAGGGGTGAGGGGTGAGGGATGAGGGGTGAGGGAGGGGTGAGGGAGGGGTGAGGGAGGGGTGAGGGGTGAGGGATGAGGGATGAGAGGTGAGGGGTGAGGGTTGACAGGTGGGGAGTGAGGGTTCAGGAGTAAGAGGTCAGGGCTAAGGGATGGGGGTAAGGGGTCGGGACGGGGGAACGGGTTGGAGTTAAGGGGCCGGGGGTAAGGGGCCGGGGGTAAGGGGCCGCGGGTAAGGGGCCGCGGGTAAGGGGCCGCGGGTAAGGGGCCGCGGGTAAGGGGCCGCGGGTAAGGGGCCGCGGGTAAGGAGTTGGAGGTGAGGTCAAAGTTGCATGGCCTGGCTTGAAACGCCCATGTGCCTTGGAATGCCCCATGTGCCTTGGAACGCCCCATGTGCCTTGGAACGCCCCATGTGCCTTGGAACGCCCCATGTGCCTTGGAACGCCCCATGTGCCTTGGAACGCCCCATTTGCCATGCAGGCCCCATTTGCCATGCAGGCCCCATTTGCCATGCAGGCCCCATTTGCCGTGCAGGCCCCATTTGCCATGCAGGCCCCATTTGCCATGCAGGCCCCATTTGCCACGCAGGCACATGGATCCCATCCTGGCATGTGGGATCATGAGATGAGACTAACTGCCGGGCGCATGACGAGCCTTGTTGCGCCAGGAAAGATTGTGGCAGCACGAAATGAAATGAGAGGTGTGACTCACGAGGCCAAGGAGGCGAATGACAAGAGGCGCGTCGCCCAACACTTCTTGCACTCTCGGCATGGCCGCCTGTGAATGGACAGGGGGGGCAGGGGCGACATGGGCGACAGGGAGGACAGGGAGGACAGGGGGGACGGGAGGGGAGAGGGGGGACAGGAAGGATAACAAGGGAGTGTGGCACGGAGAGAAGTTGCAAAGAGGGCGCACCACGCATAGAACACATTCCATGACCACTCATACAGGAATGAGGGACACGTAACCCACCATGGGGCACTAAGCAAGGAAATATGTGCCAAATGAAATAACTTAAACCAGATGATGCGCATTACCGTGACATGTATAGCAGCTGGTCAATGGTTACAGATGACTCAGTCATCCCCCCTCACCGAGTGGGCTCAGACGATCTGTCACAAGTGACACAAATGAATGAGTTCAAGGAGCCTCCATCATTCCCACAGCGCACCTGCAGGGCGTCAGCGGCTGCTTGCACGCGGAGGGGCGACCAGAGCTTGAGCATTTGCACAGTGAGGTGGAAGGTGGATGGGTTGATGAAGATGGACGGGTGCACGCCCCCTGGTGAGCCGTGGGTTGGGGTGGGGGAGGGGGGATGGGATGGTGGGGCGCGGAGGGATGGTCAGCTGCTACCAGTGCAAAGAGAAACCCTACATATAAGCTGCAACTGTAATTCACTGACTGAGAGGCACATACAGGGATGTGCATCATTCGCTCACTCTCTCAACCACTCACTCACCATACTTGTCCTTCACTCCCTTCCCTCTCTGACCACCTGGCTGCTGCTCCCAAGACTTTTCCTCTCCGCTCTCCCTTTCTTGCCCTGCAACTGCCGCCCTCTCTTCTTCACCACCCTTCCCCCTTGCACCACCCACAGAACACTCGCCGCCAGCAGTTGTAGCAGCGGAGGCATCGCCAACTGCAGCACCCACTGCTGCAGTAACAGGATCGGCAGCAGCAGCAGCGGCATCGTCACCATCGCGCACTCTATTCCCTCCTCTTCTCACACTTCCTCCTGTTCCCTCCTCTCCCCCACTCGCATCTGCTCTCCCTTCCCCTTCCACCGCTTCCTCCCCACAGTCTTCTATCCCTTCCCTCGCCCCGACTGCTGCTGCACAATCATCCTTCACACCTTCTCCCTCCACATCGCCTTCTCCCTCTCCCTCCCTTTTTGTAGCACCACCATCAGCATCACCAGAAGCATTGTCACCACCACCAGCAGTAGCAGCATCACCAGCAGCACCATCAACACCAGCAGTGCTACCAGCAGCAGCGTCAGCTGGCGCTGTGAGGTGCTCGTGGGTGCAGGGGAAGCCCACCGACTGCAGCACGGAGGAGCGCAAGTCACTGAGGCGAGCCACCAGCGGGCGGTGCGAGGCGAGGGGGAGGGAGAGGAAGTGCGAGTAGCCCACTGCAGGGCTGTCGATGGCCTGCCGAGGGGACAGGGGACACGGGCAGGGGGGCGATGTGAGAGGCGTTGAGAGAGTTGCTTGTCTGTAGGGAGGGAGAGGAAGTGCGAGTAGCCCACTGCAGGGCTGTCAATGGCCTGCTGGGGAGTGGGAGAAGGGGGGGGGGGATGAAGACATGGGTGGGAGCAGCGGTGAGAGAGGGCTTGCATTGAGGGAGAGGAAGGGCGAGTAGCGCACTGCAGTGCTGTCGATGGCCTGTCGTGGGTGGGGTCGGAGGTGGGGAAGAGTCGGGTGAGAGAGGCGGTGACAGAGGGGACCTGTGAAAGGACCTATGTGTTGATGTACCTACATGTTTGATCAATACAAGTACCGTTTGACAGAGGAAGCTTTAAGTTGACACAGACATCAGCTCGCGACTGCAGGGCTGTCATTAGAATAGACTGCCGGGGGGCATACGACATGGGTGAGAGAGGCGGTGAGAGAGGCGGTGAGAGAAGCGGTGAGAGAAGCGGTGAGAGAGGCGGTGAGAGAGGCGGTGAGAGAAACGGTGGGTTCTCGATGGCGGCACATTTCAGATATGCGATGCTCGGCTATCACCAAAATCTGCACTATCGCCTGAATTTATCAAAGCAATAGCTGGGTCTCACACCTTGCATCCCCTAAACCACCTCGCATTCCAATTTGAACCAACCTGACCTATCACCTGAGCTCACCTGGCCTATCACCTGGCCTATCACCTGGCCTATCACCTGGCCTATCACCTGGCCTATCGCCTGCGCTCACCTGTGCGAGCTCAGAAGCAAGAAGGTCCAGTGCTGCTGTTGCTGCTTCCTCACTTGCACCTGATATCTCTGAGGCACAAGGAGCAGGGGGGAAAGAGTGGGGAGGAAAAGAGAGGAAACGAGGCTAGAAACAGGGGCATGCAATGGTATGGTGCCACTGACTGGACGAGTGGACGAGTGGCAGGCAGCCCACAGCATTGGGCCACTCAGAATGCAGTAGGCAACTCTACATTGTAGTCTGGACTCTAGAGCCCCTAAGTTGCCCCTGGATCTTGAGGAGCCTGATGAATCAGCCTGTCTGTACCACTCCCTGAATGAAATGATACTCCAGTTGGCGCCCCTATATTGGCGTCAGCATAAACCCTAAACCACTGTACGTATGAACCAAAGCATGGAAAGGCACGGCACGGCAGGCATGGGCATCTCATGACATGGCAGTACCAAAGACAGCATGAGGTTGAGTCCTCTTGTTGAAGTGTGTGGGTGCCTTCACGACACATGATGTCGCCTGGGCTATGCTGCTCAGACTGCTGCACGGTGTAAGGCAAACAAGAGGCACATGGGAGGCACATGAGACACACGGTGGGAGGATGGAAAGAGTGCACGCAGTACATGATGGGGGCAGTGAATCGAGGGAGGGAATGGATCGGGAGTGCGTCCTAGAATCGCTTCACTTCTCCTTCACTGCAACAGGTGTTGCAAGGGCAGGTGATGGCAGCAGCGTGGCAAGGGCAGGTGATGGCAGCAGCGTGGCAAGGGGCAATGCGGCAGTAGAGAACAGCCACGGGAAGGGGGATGGCGTGGCAGGGGTGAGGGCTAGAATGAGGTGCCTGGGAGGGATGTACAAAAGAACGCAATGCATGGTGGATGTCACGCGAGACACACACACAATAACGAGAAGGATGGAGAGCAGGAGAGGATTGCAGATACACGGTTGAAAGAGGTTGTTGGACGGAGCATGGGCGTGTTGGAGAGATGGTCAATGAGAAGCGTGTATCTTACTCGTTGCGTGAAAATAAACCAACCAATGCTCCGTCAACCTGGGGCATGGCATGGGCATGGCATGGCATGGCATGGCATGTCATAGCATGGCACGGCATGGAACGGCATGGCACGGCATGGCACGGCATGGAACGGCATGGCACGGCATGGCACGGCATGGCACGGCATGGTACGGCATGGTACGGCTTGGTACGGCATGGTACGGCATGGGCATGGCAGATGGTAAGAAGACAAGGGAGAATATAAAAAGGGGCGTTACGCAACGGTGGCTAAAACTGCTGGTAAACCGCATCCAACCACCCCTTGCAATTTCACATCCTCAGTGCGTCCGCACCTTCACTTGCATCACGGTCGTCCCATCGCTCTTCACTTCCTTTACAATCACACTCGGTGTGCCATACAGCCGCTCCACCTCCCCTGCTGTCATCCGCACAGCCCCCCCTGAACCCCCTCCCCCTCCCCTTCCTCTTCCTCCCCTTCCCCTTCCTCCCTCTCCCCCCCGTTTCCCCCTTCCGTATACTCCTTCTTCCCCCCTTCCTCCGCCCCCTTCCCCTCGCTCCCCTCCCTCCCATGCCTCGAATATTTCCCCCTCTCCCTCTCCCCCGCCCCCATCCCCATTCCTCCGCCAGGTGTTCCACTTTCCGCCCCTCCCACTTCCACCCCACCTCCCCCTCCCATTCCCCCTCCCGCTCCCGTTCCCCCTCCCCCGCCAGACACCAGATCCCGCGCCAGTTGGCTCAGAGATTCCCGTTCCGCCATCCTCTTTGCCGGGCCTCCGCTCTCTCCGCGCATCCCCCCCACCCCCGCCGCTAGATCCCGCCATCGGCGAGTCCCTCGGTGGCGGAGCAGCAGCCATAGCAAGGCGCTTTTCGCACGGAGTGGTGATTGTTCTTGTGCGAAAGGTGACGAGCTTCTGGCGAAACGGGGATTCACGACGAAAACAAAAAGTGACTGACGGGCTGTGTTCACGAGCGCGCAGCTTTAGCGCGGTCGTCAATCGAGCTGCGCCGATCGAATATACGGAACTATTGCCTATTTCGCGTGTAACCGTGTCGTCGAAGATTGGTCTAAAGGTTAATCGTTTTCGACGACCTCGAGTCGCCACGCGCGAAAGTAAGGAAATTTCCAATGGATATGCGACCGTCGCGAAAGGAGCATGGCGGTGCGACACTAGGCGACGAAGCGATGACGTGGCGGTCGCCAGTCTACCGTCGCAGACAGGAATGATTCGGAATCCTGTTACTTTTGTTGACGATAAAGAGTCCCACTGCTTGGTCGGAGCGCGAACAAAATGTGTACAGTCCGTGGGGCATCAAAGTATTCTGCTAGGCTCGCTTCCCCATGTTTCAGAATTCGAGTTCGACATGCATCACACGAAGCTGGAAATTGACGTGCTACAGTTCAGTTTGGTCTAAAAAGGTGGAGGGAAAACGGTCCGTAATCCCACGCGGGCCTCCGTAACCAGGGCCCCGTAATGGGGCGAGGGTTACGGTGTCCTCACGCGGGGCACGCCAGGAAAACGACGAACCCAGGGCTCGGCACTCGGCCGCTCACCCCTGCCACGAAATCGGGCGGCCGACCCTTGAGGTTTTCTGGAGGCCCAGCCACGGTCGCACGTGGCTCGGCCGAAAGCTGACGCAGCCGGGGCCCGGCTGACGCAGCTCGTCTGGGACCACCTGACCCAACCGACGACCAGGGCTGGGCCAGGCTGACGCAGCACGCACTCGGCTGGTTACCCGGCGTCCCACCAAGCGACTTCGCACCCGGCTGATACGAAACCAGTCTCCTCGAGCCATCGAGCCCTGCGAAAATGTTCCCGCCAACCCTGCGAAAATGCTCCCGCCAACAAGCTGCGCTCGCGTGAGAGAGCCACATCAAATTGCAGCTCACCAGCAAATTGCAACTCTGAAACCACGATCGTGTGAAATGCCCACGGAACTAAAACTTCACGCCCTCCTCATTTCGGTGGTCCAATTCTCGTGCAAACACACTGATAGCACCATTAGGGCACTATTTTCGCACTCGTTGTGAAGCATATTTTCACGCGGGACTCCCGTAAACGTGAAAGAATGTCACTGTGTGAGCACGAAATCAAGATGGGAATCGGGATCGCAAGTTCCGGCAGTTCACACAGTTCCCACGCGGAAAACCTCCCGTGCGTAACTGGCGATTGTTTTATTTAAAGCCCTTTAACAGAATTACGGATTTTTGAGTTCAATTACCCTTAACTTGCGCTACCTTGCCCACTATGTAGCACTAGAATTGGCGCAAGTTTCGTAAACTTGTGCAATGTCAAAGTGGGCTTTAAGTTGGACTAAGGTGTTCCCGAAAATATTTTATATCACGGGAACGAACATTTTCGTGGATCTCTTTTTCATGGGTGTGCTCGAGCAGTTGGCGATTGGCGCAGGTGTTTTCGTGTTGTTGCGCAAAACTTTTAGGCGCGAAAGACTTTATCCCTGCTCCAAATTGCAGCTCACAAACAGAAAAACAACCCTGTAACCGTGTGAAATGCCCACGGTACACGCCCTTGGGGTTTCGGGGGTGCTTATCGCGCATGCATGCACTCCGTGGAAGACCATTTTCGCACTTATACGTGAGTACAGCGTAAGTGCGCCAGAATGTGACAGCACGTGAAACGAAATATGGGCATCGGGATCGTAAGTCCTGAAACACATTTTTTGTCTTAAAGCCTTCGTATTGAGACGAAGACATTGCTTTGGCAAGATTACTGATCGTGCATTCCCTCCCCCCACCTTTAGCACTCAGTATTACGCAAATTTATTCAACTTGTGAACATCAAACAACGGGTTTTAAGGCAATGATCGAAATCGACAGTTCGTGCGTGAAAATATTCACGCGGATAGGGGGAAGCTCTCGGGCACGAAAGGACGACTACAGTCGTCACGTCCTGTTTTCGTACACCCGTGTATTCATGCATAGCCAGTATCGTGCATTTCGTTTAGCGATCGCAAGCCAATTGTCGTCAACTATGCTGTGCATCTGCGAAATAAACGAAATCGCCGAACGTCGTCTTTTCAGTTACAAATGTTTACGACTGAGAAACCCTTTTCGGGGAAAACACGGGTTGTTTTCGTGCGAAACACAAATCGGTCTCACTAAACCCGAGTGTTTCCCTTGAGGCGCGAAAGCGTTTCGTGTTTCATGAATGGGGTTTCACGTAGCACCCACGATTTTTACAAAGCCCATTCACGTGATCGACGCGTGTTCAACCATCTGGGGTGATTCGCGAAGCCCTGTCCTTAAAGCCGGCAGCCCAAATTGCACAACTTTTAAAAGCTTGACGCGAGGGGGTTTTTCTGGTCTGGGGTTTGGCGAACGTTATCGATTTCGGTTATTTCGCCCTGGAAGTTGGTTCAGTCCCCGAAAGTCCCAAATTGCAGGCGCGCTTTTTTTAAAACCTTGCAAACACTAGTTCGTCAAGTTTTAAAAGCTTGACCCGCGCGGCCCGCAATTTGGGCCGCGGGCTTTAAGTGCCTCTTAGTGTATTGCTCTCTCTCGCTCTCAGTTTTTTCAGACGGAAAATTTTCGAGGCCGATAGGTGAATTATTCAGCGCGTTATCTCATTCGTGACTGGTCGCTTCCCAAGATTTTTCTGTTTTCGCGGGATTGTTCGTGTGTTGAGGCACCCGCGAAACACATTTTAGTAGCCTGTTCGTGTCCGCGGGGTGAAGGTGAGCTGGTGTGTTCCTGCACTGACGCACCGAATGATTTTTCACCACCGTGCTCACGTGGACGGCTAACGACGAAAGCAGGCGCGGTTGACGTGGTTTCGGGAGGTTGGTGAAGCACTGTGCACGACGCGAACGGGTTGCCTGTACTTTTTTCGCGCGTGCACGTGCGCTGAACTTGTAGCGATATCTTGTTTCGCTTCTGCAAAAAGTTATTTCGTTAACCATTGGTAAGTGAGCACGTGTTCCGTTTACCATTTCGCCGATGCCTTCAACGAACTCGACACGTGTACTGCTCCCGTCAGCAGGGTCGTGTGCTGCTCGGCGACGGTTTTTTACAACTGGGAAATTAACGCGTGGTGTAGTGATACAGTTCTTGGGCGCGACTGGTTTCGCGCCTTTTTAAACGAACCTACAGATAACACGTGGTGAACCCTTGCGGAAATGTAATTTCCAGGGTCCGCCAATGCGTACGTGGATCCGTCGTGGACGAATCCGAGCCGACGAAATCCGCACAGGAGTTGCGCCAGATTCCGAAACTGCCTCCGTGGCTCCTACGTGGACGAATTAGGGCAAAGGCGATCCGTAGTGTTTCATAGGTATTGTCGCTCCGTAATCGGGCGGGGGAGTTACGAGAGTGGGTGGCCGAGTTACGGAGGATTACGGGAGTCTTCCGCCCAAAAATGCTCCCGTCGCCTCCGCGAACCTTCCCCCCCCGTATATATTAATGAAAGAACAAAACGTTCCTCACCGTGTATTAACGCATTGAACCGCGCAGACGAGCCCTAAACAGCCATTGATTATTCAATTCAAATGTAAAATTTGAGTTTCCCACTTTTGAGCTCACATCACGCGTCACACTTGCCTGAGCGCTGGTGTCACTGGTAGGAGATGGTCAATCGAATTTCGTTGAGTACGGTTAAAGCAAGGGTGCACTTTGGGGGGGGTGGAGGCAAAGGTTTATCACTTGTCTCTGGATGGTTACCGGGTTTTGGTAGGGCGTGGGAGGCGACAAATGTTTTGCCCAACCCCTGCGGAGAGTGACGAGGTGTTCCCCCCTGCCAGTAGTGCGCGAAGAAAATGGGGTTGGGAACTTGCAAGTACCGCAGTGGAGTTTGTGTACCAAAACTCACTCCACAACAACCCAACCACAAAAGCAGAGGGCCCGCCAACCTTAGGAAGCGTTACTCGGTTTAGAACATCACGCTATCCGTCAAAACAGACGGATAAATTGCCACTTGTTCAAATGTCGCAGTTCGTCGCTTGCCGATAGCTCGCCTTCCAAGTCATCGTTCGTCGGCGTGCTGACGCCATTTATCGTCTTATAATCGTCGTGTTTCGCCGTCGCCTTCCGCTCGCAGCTCGAAGCTCGATTGTCCGCTAGTCGTTGCGTGTCGCAGCCCACTCAGCGGCGGTCGCCGCAGAACTGGCGTTGCTCGTTGCAACCAGCACGTCGCGATCCGCTTGCTCGCTGCATCCTGCTCCCCGCTATCAGCTCATCGCTCCGCTCCTGCTTTCCGCACCCCGCTTTCAGCGTTGCCACTAGTGCGGTTCCGCTCGATGCTCGCCGTTTCCCCTGCTTCGCTCCGTTTCGCGGGCGTGAGCCGCGATTACGCGGGAGGCGCGGAAGGGAGGCAGCAGCGGTTTAGCGCTAGGCGTGGACGCGAGGTAGCAGGACGGGAGGGGCGGACGGGAGCAAGGAGCAATCTCGCGCGCGTGGCGGGCTGGAGCGAGCAGCGACGGGGAGGGAGGGGGTGCGAGGGGGACTGAAGGAGCCGCTTCTACATCCCCCTCCCGTCGACCTCGCTTCCCCCCTCCCGTCGACCCCTCTTTCCCCCTCCCGTCGACCTCGCTTTCCCCCTCCCGTCGACCCCGCTTTCCCCCTTCGCTTTCCACCTCCCGTCGACCTCGCTTTCCCCCTCCCGTCGACCTCGCTTTCCCCCTCCCGTCGACCTCGCTTTCCCCCTCCCGTCGACCTCGCTTTCCCCCTCCCATCGCCCTCGCCTTCCCCCTCCTGTCGCCCTCGCCTTCCCGTGCTCACTCTCTTTCCCCCTGCTCACTCCTCTTTCCCTCTCTGTTTGTCCCTCATTTTGTTTCCCCCTGCTCACACCCCTAATCAGCCCCTACTTTAGAGTTCAGTGCAATGCAATGGGAGAGGTTAGAGGGAGATGGAGTGCATTCATGTCATGCGCGCGTCCCACTCCCCCCGAGTCCCCCCTCGTTGGCTAAGCTCGCTGCTGTAGTGCCGTGGGCCACTGTCGCCATGCGCCTCCCCGCTCCCTCCTCTCCCCACTCCGCTCGCGTACTCCCCTCTCCCCTCCCTGCCCTCTCTCCCCATCCTTCCCTTTCCCCCCTCCCTGTCCTGTCCTGTCCTGTCCCGACTCCCCTCTCTCCTATCCCACCTCCCTGCCCTGTCCTGTCCCCCCGCTGCCCTGTCCTATCCCCCCTCTCCGCCCTGTCCTATCTCCTCACTCCGCCCTGTCTTACCTCCTCACTCCGCCCTGTCCTATCTCCTCACTCCGCCCTGTCCTATCTCCTCACTCCCTGTCCTATCTCCTCACTCCCTGTCCTATCTCCTCACTCCCTGTCCTATCTCTTCACTCTCTGTCCTATCTCCTCACTCCCTGTCCTATCTCCTCACTCCCTGTCCTATCTCCTCACTCCCTGTCCTATCTCCTCACTCCCTGTCCTATCTCCTCACTCCCCGTCCCATCCCCTCACCCCTCACCACCGCAGGCGAGCATGACACTGGCTCCGACAAGCTGCATGGATGTGCCGCCTCTTCTTGAACATGCTTTCAGCATGTCAGAGGCCCAGACAGGCTACATTGCGTACAGGGGCCGTCAGCAGATTCAAAACGGAGCAAAGGTTTCCCTCCCTATCCTGATATGGCATGCTTATACCGTATTATATGTACTCACATCTCACTAAATATACCGTCATCGCCCGGATAGAAGATAGTGTTGAATTGAAGACATAGTGTCTTTTAAACGGGTGATTTCTTATAAACGGAACTTCTGTTTGTAAGATACCCATGTGGCTATATGAGATAAGACACCCCCCCTGGGGTGTCTTCTAAACGGAAAGCAGAGTTTCCTAGCAGCAAATTGTCAAATACGAAGCACACACATGTCTAGCTAGGACATTATACCGTACTGTATTTAGTGTTTTTTTCCCTCAGCAGTCACACATTCTGCATCAGTCACTCTAGCACGGGATGAGCGGCCTTCTCGTGCTGCTCCTGCTACTGCCCATGCGTGCTTGGCGGTCTCTTTAGGCTCCACGAGCTTATCTGCAGCTGCTGCTGCACCTCTGTAGTTTGGGGTGTCGGGGTAGGCGTCATCAGTGGCTGGAGTCGCAGCAGTGACCGTGGCTCGCGACCGTGCTTTTGACGGCGGGTTGTTTGCGCCCAGTGGGCTTTGCCGTGCTGCCTCCAACGACGATGGTGACATCGTTGCCCGCCGAATTGATACGCCCGCTGTTTGCAATGTACAGAGCAGGCGCACCAGGCTGTTTGCTACGCATGGCGGCGAGAGACGTTAGGAAACATGAGGAAAGTAGGGATTCGAATAGCAAAATTAGCACACTGATGTGGTAGACCCTGGACCCCCTCACGTAAGGGCGACACCCGTAGAGGACTGGTTCCGCAGAGGAGGGGGTGTCCTTGCAACAGAGGCATCCACGCTGCCACACCTGATGCAGCACACCTTGCAAGTTGATGCAGAGGTTGTAAAATGCTGCCAAGTGTGGGCACATACGCCAAACATTGGATGAGGACGAGGAATCGGTCCCCTGTTGGGTCCTTGATCCCGCCAAACAAAAAAGCACTCTATATTACGTGTTCCGGTATGTGCGATAATACAAAAAATAACTATTCCGTTTATAAGATTTATAAGACACCCATTTGGTTCCGTTTACAAGATACAGTGGCCATTTTCAATCCTATATGAGTTAAGACACATATGTCTTCTATCCGGGCGATGACGGTATGGTTCTAAAATGTTTACATCTTGTTGCGTGATTTGGATAAGGGGTTACACACAAAACCAAGAGGCTACAATGACAACAGCATGAACAGCAACTTGAGCACAGTATCAATATGTTATACCGGTAATCAGCCATTGGATGGCACAATGAGGCACACATTAGCCTAAAAAGAAATGAAATCGTACTTGATTGTTCTTGCTTTTGAGAATTCTCAGATGCTGCAGTGGCCAGCAGCAGCAGTACTGGCAAGAGCAGTGGTAGCAGCAGTGCTCGCAGCTGCAGAAAAAGTGGAGGGAAAAGAGGTGGCTTGCTTGGCGAGGTTGAGAAGAGAGGCGAGGAGGTCCCAAGGGCGTAGGTGAAGGCGTGTCCAGGAGCAGAAGCATCAGCAGAAGGGGCAACAGAAACAGCCATCGTTGAGCAGGCGGCTAAGGGAGGTTTGGACTGCCAGTTCCCATGCCACCAACTCCCTCGCTTGCCTTGCTGCCGCCCCCTTGCCCCTCCTTGGCACGCCCAAGCAGCGCAGCAGATAGGAGAGCAGGGGGTGAGTTGATGATGTGAGAGCATGGTGTGAGAGCAGGCTAGGCTGAGGGCAGGTGATGAAGTGAGAGGGCTTGGTGCGACTGGGATGAAAGGCATGGGATGAGAGGCATGGGATGAGAGGCATGGGATGAGAGGCATGGGATGAGAGGCATGGGATGAGAGGCATGGGATGAGAGGCTTGGGATGAGAGGCATGGGATGAGAGGCATGGGATGAGAGGCTTGGGATGAGAGGCATGGGATGAGAGGCTTGGGATGAGAGGCATGGGATGAGAGGCATGGGATGAGAGGCTTCGAATGAGAGGCTTGGGATGAGAGGCTTGGGATGAGAGGCATGGGATGAGAGGCTTGGGATGAGAGGCTTGGGATGAGAGGCTTGAGATGAGAGGCATGGGATGAGAGGCTTCGAATCAGAGGCTTGGGATGAGAGGCTTGGGATGAGAGGCTTGGGATGAGAGGCATGGGATGAGAGGCATGGGATGAGAGGCTTGGGATGAGAGGCATGGGATGAGAGGCTTCGAATGAGAGGCTTGGGATGAGAGGCATGGGATGAGAGGCATGGGATGAGAGGCTTCGAATGAGAGGCTTGGGATGAGAGGCTTGGGATGAGAGGCATGGGATGAGAGGCATGGGATGAGAGGCATGGGATGAGAGGCTTGGGATGAGAGGCATGGGATGAGAGGCATGGGATGAGAGGCATGGGATGAGAGGCTTGGGATGAGAGGCTTGGGATGAGAGGCTTGAGATGAGAGGCTTGGGATGAGAGGCTTGGGATGAGAGGCTTGGGATGAGAGGCATGGGATGAGAGGCATGGGATGAGAGGCATGGGATGAGAGGCATGGGATGAGAGGCTTGGGATGAGAGGCTTGGGATGAGAGGCTTGAGATGAGAGGCATGGGATGAGAGGCTTCGAATCAGAGGCTTGGGATGAGAGGCTTGGGATGAGAGGCTTGGGATGAGAGGCATGGGATGAGAGGCATGGGATGAGAGGCTTGGGATGAGAGGCATGGGATGAGAGGCATGGGATGAGAGGCTTGGGATGAGAGGCTTCGAATGAGAGGCTTGGGATGAGAGGCTTGGGATGAGAGGCATGGGATGAGAGGCATGGGATGAGAGGCATGGGATGAGAGGCTTGGGATGAGAGGCATGGGATGAGAGGCATGGGATGAGAGGCATGGGATGAGAGGCTTGGGATGAGAGGCTTGGGATGAGAGGCTTGAGATGAGAGGCTTGGGATGAGAGGCTTGGGATGAGAGGCTTGGGATGAGAGGCATGGGATGAGAGGCATGGGATGAGAGGCATGGGATGAGAGGCATGGGATGAGAGGCTTGGGATGAGAGGCTTGGGATGAGAGGCTTGAGATGAGAGGCATGGGATGAGAGGCTTCGAATCAGAGGCTTGGGATGAGAGGCTTGGGATGAGAGGCTTGGGATGAGAGGCATGGGATGAGAGGCATGGGATGAGAGGCTTGGGATGAGAGGCATGGGATGAGAGGCTTGGGATGAGAGGCTTCGAATGAGAGGCTTGGGATGAGAGGCATGGGATGAGAGGCTTGGGATGAGAGGCTTGGGATGAGAGGCTTGAGATGAGAGGCTTGGGATGAGAGGCATGGGATGAGAGGCTTGGGATGAGAGGCATGGGATGAGAGGCTTGGGATGAGAGGCATGGGATGAGAGGCATGGGATGAGAGGCATGGGATGAGAGGCATGGGATGAGAGGCATGGGATGAGAGGCTTGGGATGAGAGGCTTCGAATGAGAGGCTTGGGATGAGAGGCTTGGGATGAGAGGCATGGGATGAGAGGCATGGGATGAGAGGCATGGGATGAGAGGCATGGGATGAGAGGCATGGGATGAGAGGCTTGGGATGAGAGGCTTGAGATGAGAGGCATGGGATGAGAGGCTTCGAATCAGAGGCTTGGGATGAGAGGCTTGGGATGAGAGGCTTGGGATGAGAGGCATGGGATGAGAGGCATGGGATGAGAGGCATGGGATGAGAGGCTTGGGATGAGAGGCTTGGGATGAGAGGCTTGAGATGAGAGGCATGGGATGAGAGGCTTCGAATCAGAGGCTTGGGATGAGAGGCTTGGGATGAGAGGCTTGGGATGAGAGGCATGGGATGAGAGGCTTCGAATGAGAGGCTTGGGATGAGAGGCTTGGGATGAGAGGCATGGGATGAGAGGCATGGGATGAGAGGCATGGGATGAGAGGCTTGGGATGAGAGGCATGGGATGAGAGGCATGGGATGAGAGGCATGGGATGAGAGGCTTGGGATGAGAGGCTTGGGATGAGAGGCTTGAGATGAGAGGCTTGGGATGAGAGGCTTGGGATGAGAGGCTTGGGATGAGAGGCATGGGATGAGAGGCATGGGATGAGAGGCATGGGATGAGAGGCATGGGATGAGAGGCTTGGGATGAGAGGCTTGGGATGAGAGGCTTGAGATGAGAGGCATGGGATGAGAGGCTTCGAATCAGAGGCTTGGGATGAGAGGCTTGGGATGAGAGGCTTGGGATGAGAGGCATGGGATGAGAGGCATGGGATGAGAGGCTTGGGATGAGAGGCATGGGATGAGAGGCATGGGATGAGAGGCTTGGGATGAGAGGCTTCGAATGAGAGGCTTGGGATGAGAGGCTTGGGATGAGAGGCATGGGATGAGAGGCATGGGATGAGAGGCTTGGGATGAGAGGCATGGGATGAGAGGCATGGGATGAGAGGCATGGGATGAGAGGCTTGGGATGAGAGGCTTGGGATGAGAGGCTTGAGATGAGAGGCTTGGGATGAGAGGCTTGGGATGAGAGGCTTGGGATGAGAGGCATGGGATGAGAGGCATGGGATGAGAGGCATGGGATGAGAGGCATGGGATGAGAGGCTTGGGATGAGAGGCTTGGGATGAGAGGCTTGAGATGAGAGGCATGGGATGAGAGGCTTCGAATCAGAGGCTTGGGATGAGAGGCTTGGGATGAGAGGCTTGGGATGAGAGGCATGGGATGAGAGGCATGGGATGAGAGGCTTGGGATGAGAGGCATGGGATGAGAGGCTTGGGATGAGAGGCTTCGAATGAGAGGCTTGGGATGAGAGGCATGGGATGAGAGGCTTGGGATGAGAGGCTTGGGATGAGAGGCTTGAGATGAGAGGCTTGGGATGAGAGGCATGGGATGAGAGGCTTGGGATGAGAGGCATGGGATGAGAGGCTTGGGATGAGAGGCATGGGATGAGAGGCATGGGATGAGAGGCATGGGATGAGAGGCATGGGATGAGAGGCATGGGATGAGAGGCTTGGGATGAGAGGCTTGAGATGAGAGGCATGGGATGAGAGGCTTCGAATCAGAGGCTTGGGATGAGAGGCTTGGGATGAGAGGCTTGGGATGAGAGGCATGGGATGAGAGGCATGGGATGAGAGGCATGGGATGAGAGGCTTGGGATGAGAGGCTTGGGATGAGAGGCTTGAGATGAGAGGCATGGGATGAGAGGCTTCGAATCAGAGGCTTGGGATGAGAGGCTTGGGATGAGAGGCTTGGGATGAGAGGCATGGGATGAGAGGCTTCGAATGAGAGGCTTGGGATGAGAGGCTTGGGATGAGAGGCTTGGGATGAGAGGCATGGGATGAGAGGCTTCGAATGAGAGGCTTGGGATGAGAGGCCTGGTTTGAGAGGCTTCGAATGAGAGGCTTGGGATGAGAGGCTCGGGTGTGACAGTAGCGAGGAGAGAGAAGGTCACCTGTCATACAGTCACACTGGAAGGAAGGGAATTAGGTGATGAATCTCTTGGAAGGAAAGCAGGGAGAGGGAGGGGAAGGCTAAGGAAGGCAATGTAGACGTGGCAGGGTAGAGCAGGACAGGCGGGGACCAAGCGAGGAAGTGAACAGAGAGAGCGGAATCAGCATGCAGACGCATGGAGGTGAGAACTGGGGCAGGTAGATCTGGCAAAGGGTAGAGGACGGGATGGACGGCAGAAGATATGAACCCAGGGAGGCGAGCACCAGGGCAGACACGAAAGGCAGAAGATATGAACCCAGGGAGGCGAGCACCAGGGCAGACACGAAAGGTAGAAGATATGAATGCAGGGAGTTCAGGAGACAATTGGGGTCTGGAGAATGGCAGACATGTGAGGAGTCAACCTGAGTAACTCCATAGATGAGCATATAGAAACTAGTATTTGGTCATGAGCCAACCTGAGTCAGCCACGTGGCCGTTAACCTGTGCATCAAGAGACTCGGACGGTTGCAACGGTTTCTCGCCACGTGGACCTTCGAGATTGGCCGAGTTCTGAAAGACCGTGGGGAATAGGAGGGGTAGGAAGGTAAAAGTGCAGGGTGGAAAAAGGAAGGGAAGGAAATGGAAGGAAAGGGAAGGGAGGAGAGGGGAAGGGAAGTGAAGGGAGGACGTCAAAAAGGGAAGGGAAGGGAAGGGGAGGGAAGGGAAGTGAAAGGAATAGAAGGGATTGGAGGGGAAGGGGAGGAGCGACCTAGGGGGAAGGGGAAGTGAGATGTGGGGGAAAGGGGAAGTGAGATGTGGGGGAAAGGGGAAGTGAGATGTGGGGGAAAGGGGAAGTGCGACCTGGGGAGAAGGGGAGGAGCGACCTAGGGGGAAGGGGAGGAGCGACCTGGGGGGAAGGGGAAGTGAGATGTGGGGGAAAGGGGAAGTGCGACCTGGGGAGAAGGGAAGGAGCGACCTAGGGGGAAGGGGAGGAGCGACCTGGGGGGAAGGGGAAGTGAGATGTGGGGGAAAGGGGAAGTGAGATGTGGGGGAAAGGGGAAGTGCGACCTGGGGAGAAGGGGAGGAGCGACCTAGGGGGAAGGGGAGGAGCGACCTGGGGGGAAGGGGAAGTGAGATGTGGGGGAAAGGGGAAGTGCAACCTGGGGAGAAGGGGAGGAGCGACCTAGGGGGAAGGGGAGGAGCGAACTGGGGGAAGGGGAAGTGAGATGTGGGGGAAAGGGGAGGTGCGACCTGGGGGGAAGGGGAAGTGCGACTTGGAGGCGACGAGGAGGCGGCGCGCCGATGAGAACGCGAGGGGGCGAGGCGGCGATTTTGCTGTGATGCGCTGATGACGAGGCGCACAGCCGGGGGCGCTCAGTAGCACGGATGCGAGTTTAGCGGATTAGGGAACACTTAGTGCGAGGTGGCGGCGATGCGCCGATGAGGAGGCGAGGCGGCACAGGAGGTCGCATGGTCGGAGCGCGAAGAAGCGTGGAGGCAAGAGGCTAAGGAGGCTGGGAAACTCGGGAGTCGGGGAGGCGGTTGCGACATGGCGAGTCGGCGATAAGGCAGCGACGTCGGGAAAACGATCTGAATCGCCGTTTATGACTTCGCGAGCTAGCAGAAGATATCGCCAGCAACATACGACGAGGCTTGTGTGTACGCGTGGGGGGCCGGAAACTCTACTCTCCGGACTCTATCGTCGTGGCGATAGGGAAAGCACGCTAAGTTTATATGCAACTGCTTTCACTCAGGTTGATGTTTTATCACATGGTTTTGTTCCTTGGTTGCGCCAGACGCTTCGTTTCCGCCGTTCCGCGGTGTATTCCCCTGCCCAATCTCTGTACGAAATTGGTTGGCATCGCCAACCAAGTTTGAATCCCTCGCGCCAGCTATCCGTACCCTAAACATTTCGCTGTCGAATCAGACCCCGTCAAAGGGTGTACACAAACATTGCCCCCAAAAACCACCCCCAGGAATGTGCACCCTTGCTTTAAAGCCCGCGGCCCAAATTGCGGGCCGCGCGGGTCAACCTTTTAAAACTTGATGAACTAGTGTTAGCAAGCTTTGAAAAAAAACGAGCCTGCAATTTGGGACTTCGGGAACTGAACCAACCCCCAGGGCGGAATACGAGGGGGGCTGGCTTTGGCGAAAAAAACGAAAGAAACGAATTTTTCGCCTAAACCCAGACCACAAAACCCCCTCGCTAAGACCTTTTAAAGCCGGCGGCCCAAATTGTTCATGCTTTTAAAAGTTGACCAGAGGGAGTTTTTCTGGTGTGGGCTTTGGCGAGAGTTTCCGATTTCGTCTAGGTTCGTTTTTTTCGCGAGACCCAGCCAACCCTCGGTTTTCCCCCTGGTGAGTGAATCTGTCTTCGAAAGTCCCAAATTGCAAGTGCGTGACTTTCAAAAGCTTGGACACTCAACTTCGTCAAGTTTTAAAAACTTGACCCTCGCGGCCCGCAATTTGGGACGCGGGCTTTAAAGGTTGTGCAATTTGGGCTGCCGGCTTTAAAGCCCGCGTCCCAAATTGCGGGCCGCGCGCGTCAAGCTTTTAAAACTTGACGAAGTGCAGTGGGCAACCTTTGAAAAGTACCGCACTTGCAATTTGGGACTTTCAGGGACAGACCCAACCCCCAGGGCGAAATTTGAGGGAGTGCTGGGTTTGGCGAGATTAACGAAAAAAACGAAATCGGGAGTCACTCGTCTAAACCCAGACCAGAAAAAACCCACGCGTCAACTTTTAAAAGCTTGTGCAATTTGGGCCGCCGGCTTTAAGTGAGCTTCATGACGTTCATCGAATTGGGGGCTGCTTACCACATCGAAAGCTGACGGAGGCCTCGGAGTTTTAGACCCAGAGATTCTGCTCGCCTGCCTTGCTGCGAGGAGAATTGGCTGCTTGCTGCTGGAGGAGAATGGGAAAAAGAAAGAGATTATGCTTAAGGCGGCGGGATTACCGCTCGGGGAGGACACGTTTCTGGCTCATGAACGGCTGTTGAAGCACTGGCCGGGAGATAACGAGCGGTGGCTGCGGACGTGCGAGACCTTCATGAACTCTTCGATTGCAGACACTGGGAAGTCCAGTAGCAGAGAGGAGGTGGCACAGGAGAGGGTGGTCTTCAACCGTAAGCTGCTGTTGAACGGCACAAACCCGGTGGGGGGGCAGAAGGAAGCTAAGGGTCTCTGGGAGACGAGGTTGGGGGACCTGGTAACCGCACGGCAGGATGGTGCGGCGGAGATTAAAGACATCGTCACGCTAGAGCGGTAGCTGCGCAGTAGGGACTCAGCCCGGTTAGCCCTCAAAGCACTAGATGCAGTGCCGCAGGAGTGGAAAGCTGTGCTTACCCCGGATGCCAGAGGAGAGGGCGCAGTGTCTGGAGTGCAAAACTCGTCAGACATCAGCGGAGGAAGGAAACATGCAGCGGCAACAATTTTCCGTTCGGCGGTTTTCACAAATGGGCACTTGTCATCCCTGAAGCAGTTGAGGTAATCGTGGGCCAAACCAGATGCGGTCCTTACGAAGCAGGAGAAGTGGTCCGGCAAGTGGAGCGGCAAGATAGATTGGGAGCGGGTCATCCGTACCAGGAACTCGTTTGTCATCCCGAACCGACCGCGTGATGTCCTCACGCGCATACACAACCACAACCTTCAGGTTGGGGAGAGGGTGGATTTTCTCAGCAGCAAGCCGAAGTGCCCATACTGTGGGGAGATTGAGACACATGACCACTGCCTTTTCAGCTGCCCGATGATTCAGCCTGTGGTCTCTGGCCTCCGGCGCGCTTTGCGCATGCTCAACCCCACAAGGACACCTGCCTCGCTCGGTGATCCACTGTTCCAGGAAACTGGTACCACGTCAGATTTTCCTGAAGCCACACTAACGGCCATCACCTTCCACCAGCTGTGGGTGGAACGCTGCGATGCGAGTTTCCGTGGGCAGAAGTTCAGAGCTCGGCGGGTACTCAGAAAAACCGGGACGACTTTTCGGCTGCATGCAAGGGTGTACACGAGGGTGACTGGAGCAAAATGTGTGAAGCCGGGCAAGCTGGGGAAGCTCAAGAGGGTCAGAGGGGTTTTCGAAGCAGAACAGAAGATGCTGATGAGGATCAGGGAGGCTGGAGACAAGAAGTGGAGTTGGTCGGCCAGCTTCGCGGCAATTTGGAACAGGCCAAAGAGGGCTTTCTTACCGCCCTAGTTGTCTCGCTGGGCAGCGCAAGGTGTCTGCCCTCACGCTCAGTTACGACTGCTATTGCTGTATGCATTGTCCTTTTTAATGTATACTTCAATTACCCAAAAAAAAAAAAAAACGTTCTCGCACGGTTTGCCTGAGCTATGAACGGTTCATTACGGTCCTTCGAGATTGGACCTCTTCGTTCTGGAGACTAAAAAAACCTGAGCAGACTAAAACCTGAGTTCGGGTCTTCTCAACCAGCTAACTGGCTAACCTAGCCGGTCGCCAAGGGGGTCAGCGAAGTGAATTCGATCACCGCGCTAGTTAGCCCGCGGGCTATCGGCGTAGCAGTAGTGACTGTAGTATGACCATGCCGCCTGGCCGGCCTATAGTATCCGCGTGCTGACTGTTTGAGGCGACAGAATGAAATCGCCATCACCAGTGCCCGCACCCATATCCGCATTTTAACCGCCTGAAGGGACTGATTTCTTGTCCGCCATGCCGGGTGGGCGCGCCGTCCGCGTGCTGAACGTGGCGGAGAAGCCGTCCGTCGCGCGCGCCGTGGCGGAGATCCTCGCGCGGTACGGCGGCGGCGGAGTGAGGTCGCGCGAGGGGCGGTCCGTGTACAACCGCATCTTCGAATTCACGTGAGCGACGAGCGGCGATGCAGGATGCGACGCCATGCGAAGCGGCGTGTGCTTCGCCATGGCGACGTTAGGTTGACGCTCGTTGGGTCTAAGTTCCGGGCGCGTATGGCGGCTGAGCCCATCCCTCCCTCCCCCTTGGCTACTGGAGATTGAAAAGTCGCGTGGAAATGCACCTGCATCCCCCATCATCCCCATTCCCATCCCCATCCCCATCCCCATCCCCGTCCCCGTCCCCGTCCCCGTCCCCGTCCCCGTCCCCGTCCCCGTCCCCGTACCCGTCCCCGTCCCCGTCCCCGTCCCCGTCCCCGTCCCCGTCCCCGTCCCCGTCCCCGTCCCCGTCCCCGTCCCCGTCCCCGTCGTCCCCGTCCCCGTCCCCGTCCCCGTCCCCGTCGTCCCCGTCCCCGTCCCCGTCCCCGTCCCCATCCCCATCCCCATCCCCATCCCCATCCCAATACCCGCATCCTCATGCCATGTGGCTATCATGTGAGCAACTTGGCCATCCGCGTTATCAGCCGCTAGCAGCCACTAGATGAGCAACTTGTTCAACCATGCAGGACTTCGCCAAAGCCGGTTCTTGAGATCCTCATGAGCCGCCTGAAATTGCCTTTCTTCATTCAACAGCTACTTTATGATCAAACCAGCCATGTGCCATGGCGGCAATGACTGACTAGTAATGCTGAACTGAAACGTCATTCTGCCCCGTCATCAGCTACACAATGAACAACCAGCCGTGCGACATGGCGATGACGTCAGTGACGGGGCATCTGATGGAGATGGACTTTCAGGACCCCTTCAGGAAGTGGCACGCCTGCGACCCCCTGCAGCTCTTTGACGCCCCTGTATACAAGGCCATACCACAGGTGGGAGGGTTGGGTTTGTTGGTCGTTATCATGTATGGTATGGTATGGAATCCCCTTCAGGAAGTGGCACGCCTGCGACCCCCTGCAGCTCTTTGACGCCCCTGTATACAAGGCCATACCACAGGTGGGAGGGTTGGGTTTGTTGGTCGTTATCATGTATGGTATGGTATGGAATCCCCTTCAGGAAGTGGCACGCCTGCGACCCCCTGCAGCTCTTTGACGCCCCTGTATACAAGGCCATACCACAGGTGGGAGGGTTGGGTTTGTTGGTCGTTATCATGTATGGTATGGTATGGAATCCCCTTCAGGAAGTGGCACGCCTGCGACCCCCTGCAGCTCTTTGACGCCCCTGTATACAAGGCCATTCCGCAGGTGGGAGGGTCTGCTTGGCTGTTTGTTAAATCCAGGCATGGGTGGTATAGGGATTGGATAACAGAATCCTCTTTGTGGAAATGGCAATCCCTGCAGCTCTTTGACGCGCCCATGCACAAGGCCATACCGCTGGTGGGATGGGAGGGTCTGGCTGGCTGTGTATTAACCCCCGGGACGGATCGTAGGGAATGTCCTTCAGGAAGTGCCACACCTGCTACCCCCTGCAGCTGCCTGTCTATAAGTCCACACCGCAGGTGGGAGGGTACAAGGACGTACCACACTCGTGGGGGAGGTGTAACGCTGTATAACCCCAGGTGGGAGGGTACAAGGCCATACCACTCCAGGTGGGAGGATACACACGGCCGTATGTAATCCAGATGTGGTTTCATTGTGATCTAGATGCGGTTTCATTGTACGTTGAACCTTTAGATCTTCTTCCATATGCAGAGCTACATCGAAAGCGACGCACGGGTGTTAATGCTGCTCACTGTTTCGTCCGACGTCTCAAACACTGGAGAAGCGTTCAGAGCACCAGAATTTGGTGCAAATGTCAACACGTGCGAGCTTGGTCCTGCCAGGCGAGATGAAACCACGTCTAGAATATGTGCGGCACTTTTGTGCGAGCATTTGCTTCTGTACGTGCATGTGCTTTCAATGCATTCACGTGCTGCTAACGGAACTGTTTTTTGGTTTAACCGGAGCAACAAGCACCAAGCGTCAAGCCTTCAGGCCCCATTCCTATAGCAGCTTCTCCTCCATTCACCAACCACCCCTTCCTTACCCATATTCTCATTCCTGTGTGTCCTCTCCACATCTTCGCATCGCCTCCCTTCACTGCTCTGCAGGACAAGGTGGCACTGGAGGTGTTGCCTTGTCTTCCAAGTTTCCATCATCACCTGCCATCCCCCTCCACCACCCCGTTCCCCCATTCATCTGCAGGACAAGGTGGCACTGGAGGTGTTGCCTTGTCTTCCAAGTTTCCATCATCACCTGCCATCCCCCTCCACCACCCCGTTCCCCCATTCATCTGCAGGACAAGGTGGCACTGGAGGTGTTGCCTTGTCTTCCAAGTTTCCATCATCACCTGCCATCCCCCTCCACCACCCCGTTCCCCCATTCATCTGCAGGACAAGGTGGCACTGGAGGTGTTGCCTTGTCTTCCAAGTTTCCATCATCACCTGCCATCCCCCTCCACCACCCCGTTCCCCCATTCATCTGCAGGACAAGGTGGCACTGGAGGTGACGTTGAGGGAGGAGGCGAGGCGTAGCGAGGAGCTGGTGTTGTGGCTGGACTGTGACCGGGAGGGCGAGAACATCGCCTATGAGGTCATGCAGGTGTGCCGTGTGCCTTCCCTTCCCCATTCTTATCTTGGAAATACGGCAGCACGACTGGCCATATCACAACGTCCTACATTTTGCATAGCTTGTTGTCTCTTGCTCTCAGCCTCTCAAAATCCTCACTTTTCTAGCATGTGATGTTTTGTGAGAAGTCGAGAGAATGGCCTTATCATAATGCCTTGCACGAGTGCAGGTGTGCCTGGCTGCTAATTCGCGCCTGGCTGTCTTCCGAGCCCACTTCTCAGCCCTTGTTGACAGGTGCCCTTCTCACTCATGCTCCTTCCCTCACAATTTATCTGCAAAGGCTTGTATGCTTCTTTCTTTTGATGAATAGTTATGGGGACCACAACTTTGTGCTTGCCGCTTCGATTAAATGAAGCTACATACACACACAGCTGTTCGCATGTCAATGGATCGTTGCCCTTCCCAAGCCAAGACTGTGGGCACGTTCCTGAGAAGACCCTTGCTCATTCTTGGTTTGTGACGCGCCGCCTACTACCCTTAATGATTATGATTTAAAGCCACCCTCCTTTGCCACGTGGCACCCTGTTGTCCAATCAGAGACATCCATCATGCGGCTCAGAACTTAGGCCGCCCGAACTCCAACTTCGCAGACGCTGTTGACGCTCGGCAGGTAGTGGATGGGCGGGTAGTTGATGGGCGGCAGGTGGTTGATGGGCGGCAGGTGGTTGATGGGGGGCAGGTGGTTGATGGGCGGCAGGTGGTTGATGGGGGGCAGGTGGTTGATGGGGGGCATGCGTTGACCACTCACACACAGCCAACCGGGCACTCACTTACACACTCACTCACCTCAACCACACACTCATGCATGCACTCGCCCACACACAGACACACACATCTACAGACTTACCCACATACCTACAGACCCACTCGCACCACCATGTCAGGGGATATATTTTTGCCTTGTTCACGCTCTTCCATATATACTCTTGTCCATCTTATCGTAACTTGTATTCTCTTGCCCGTCCCCCCTCCCCTCTCTCCCAACCTGTTTCCTTCCCCTCTACCTGCCGGTGAACCCCAACCCCCCCCCCCCCCCCCCCTCACACACACTCCCCACACACTCACCTCCCGCACACCTATCCCTGTCAGGAGATAGATCTGCGCATCGGGGCGTCCTTCACGCGCTTCCAGACCATGCTGCTGCACAACCGCTTCGACCTGCCCTCGCCCTCCGCCGACCGCAAGCCCGTCATCAGCTATGGACCCTGCCAGGTGGGACCTGGGCAGGTGGGACCTGGGCAGGTGGGACCTGGGCAGGTGGGACCTGGGCAGGTGGGACCTGGGCAGGTGGGACCTGGGCAGGTGGGACCTGGACAGGTGGGGTCTGGACAGGTGGGATCTGGACATTTGGTACGTGCACTGCACCGACGATAAATGTCCAGCAGGTGAGACCTGGAAAGGTGGAACTGGTGAGGCGAGCGAGGCCTTGTTGTCGCGACTTCGTTTTGATCAGTTTGCCAGCTGTGCTCTCCTGCCCCTCCTGCCCCGCATCTTCCCTCTGTTCTCTCCCAATCCCTCTCATTCGTCCTCCTCCCCTTCTTCCGTCCTCCTCTTCCATCTCCCCTCTCCTCCCCGCCAGTTCCCCTCCCCACGCTGGGCTCTGTGGTGGAGCTCTTTTGGGGCATACTGGCGCACGAGACGAGACTAGAGGAGTCTTTCTTCCTTCTCCTTGTTCTGTCTGCCTACCTGTCCCTTACTTACCTGCGTTTTTAGCTCCTCATCCCTCCTTCATCCGCCAGTTCCCCACGCTGGGCTTCGTGGTGGAGCGCTATTGGGACATACTGGCACACGTGGAGGAGCCTTTCTGGGCCATCCACTGCCGACACGTGCAGCACTCGCCGCCCCCCGCCACCTCCGCTGAATTCTCCTGGCAGTAAGACCCAAGTCACAAATCTATGTGCCGTTTCTTCCCTGTTGAGCTTGTCTCCTCCACGCACTGCATCTGATGTATCTGTGGAGGGGACATAATTGCGTTGGTAGCTTGCTTGTACAAGGTCGCACTGTGGAAATGTACAAGCAAGCTAGGGCGTTGGTGCAGTTAAATCTTTACCGGGGGACATAATTGACGAAAAACAGGACATATCCCTCTGCTCAAATTTCCAGCACCTGCTGACACAATCTGTTCTTTCTACCTTATACTGGTTCTTCTATTTCTGGCGGATCGCCAATCCCCCTCTTGTATTTGTTTCAAGTTCCTGCCCTGTTCACACCCTCTCAGAAGTGAGGGAGTTGGTGGGGTCCTTGCCAAGGTAGGGCAGTACCGCGTCCCACCCATCACTCATCACTCATCCCTCCTCCCTTTCTCTGCAGTACTGCGTCCCACCCATCCCCATGACCACCACCTCTTCCCCTCACCTCGCAACACTCTGTGTGGTTGTTCTGGCAGGAGGGGCCGTCTGTTCGACCACCTCATTGCTGCCACGCTCTTTGAAATGTGCCTCGATAACCCTGTTGCCACTGTGAGTGAGCATTGCTTTAATTATTTTCTCTGCCCCTGTTCCGCTATACTATAAACCCATCCATCCACCACATCCTCACCGCAGCCTCACCGCAGCCTCACCGCAGCCTCACCGCAGCCTCACCGCATCGAAGGTGCCTATGATCCTTTCACCACACATCCCCCTCTCCATTTCGGCTACACAGCTCCTCTGCACCTGTTTTGCATCATGCCATTCATCAGTCCCCACAGTGCGGCGGCCCACATGCACCCCTCTCCGAAACCTGCCACTTCCCCTCTCACATGCACCTTACCCATGCCACCTCCTCCATACCCACGTCTCAGGCATCTCAGGGCCTCAGGCATCTCAGGGCCTCAGGCATCTCAGGGCCTCAGGCATCTCAGGGCCTCAGGCGAAACGTGGCACTTGTTTTTCCCACAGCTCCCATTTTCCTTTCCTGCATCCTTCACTGTCCCTGTAGCTTCATTTATCCACGTCCCCGCCCTCCAATGGCAGGTGATGGAAGTGGCAGGCAGTGAGCGGCGCAAGTTCCCGCCCTTCCCGCTCAACACAGTGGAACTGCAGAAGCGAGCCTCGAGGTTCCTGCGCATGGCATCAGAGCACACCATGAAGGTGATTCGTGCGCATGGCATCAGAGCACACCATGAAGGTGATTCGTGCGCATGGCATCAGAGCACACCATGAAGGTGATTCGTGCGCATGGCATCAGAGCACACCATGAAGGTGATTCGTGCGCATGGCATCAGAGCACACCATGAAGGTGATTCGTGCGCATGGCATCAGAGCACACCATGAAGGTGATTCGTGCGCATGGCATCAGAGCACACCATGAAGGTGATTCGTGCGCATGGCATCAGAGCACACCATGAAGGTGATTCGTGCGCATGGCATCAGAGCACACCATGAAGGTGATTCGTGCGCATGGCATCAGAGCACACCATGAAGGTGATTCGTGCGCATGGCATCAGAGCACACCATGAAGGTGATTCGTGCGCATGGCATCAGAGCACACCATGAAGGTGATTCGTGCGCATGGCATCAGAGCACACCATGAAGGTGATTCGTGCGCATGGCATCAGAGCACACCATGAAGGTGATTCGTGCGCATGGCATCAGAGCACACCATGAAGGTGATTCGTGCGCATGGCATCAGAGCACACCATGAAGGTGATTCCTGCGCATGGCATCAGAGCACACCATGAAGGTGATTCGTGCGCATGGCATCAGAGCACACCATGAAGGTGATTCGTGCGCATGGCATCAGAGCACACCATGAAGGTGATTCGTGCGCATGGCATCAGAGCACACCATGAAGGTGATTCGTGCGCATGGCATCAGAGCACACCATGAAGGTGATTCGTGCGCATGGCATCAGAGCACACCATGAAGGTGATTCGTGCGCATGGCATCAGAGCACACCATGAAGGTGATTCCTGCGCATGGCATCAGAGCACACCATGAAGGTGATTCCTGCGCATGGCATCAGAGCACACCATGAAGGTGAATGCTCGTTGGGTGTCATTGTCATGTGGAGATTGGACCGTCCATTCATGGTGGTTCAAATTCCTTCTTCATGCTTCTCCTCCCAGTAAAAGGGTGCTGCTGCCCCTCTTCCCTTCTCATGTTCATCCCCGTTCCACCTACCATTCGCTTATATTCTATCTTGCTGGTAGAGAAGTGTTATAAGAGCTGTAGCAATCCACACTTTCTTATATTTTCATATTACGTACAGAATCATCCGTCCTTTCTCGTTTACCCCGATATGCATGCAGATAGCAGAGGAGCTGTACCAGCAGGGCTTCATGAGCTACCCTCGCACTGAGACTGACAGCTTCCCTCCATCCATGGACCTTCAGGTACGTGCATTCATTCAGGAACACATGGGCAACAAATATCCCTGCAATACGCAACTCGACTCACTCGTGAGTCGTGAGCAGGATCTGATTCGAGGCTGACTCGCGATGGCTTGGCGTAACTTGGGCTGTCCTTTGTGTGGTTCAGTTCAGGGCAGGTGCATAGCCTTAACTGCACTCAGATTAGGTACACTTCAGTGCTAATCGATGCTGTGCTGTGCTGTGCTGTGCTGTGCTTTTCTGCATGTAGTTTCCATTCTTCCCAACCAACCCTGTTCCTTCCCCCCATCCACCGTCTCCTCGACCTCATCCCCCGTCTCCGCAGCCCTCACTCCCCATCCCCATCTCCTCAACCCCCCATTCCCCATTAACTCCATCCCCTGATTCCCCTCAACTCCGTAGGCCCTGGTATCAGAGCAGGCCAGCAACAGCGCATGGGGAGACTACGCGCAGCGGTTGCTGGACCCAGCAGCCAATCTGTGGAGGACACCTGGCAGCGGCGGGCACGATGACAAGGCGCATCCCCCCATCCACCCCACCAGGGCGTCGCCACATGGCGAGCCCAACTGGAGTCCGGATCACAAGGTAGTGTGGTGTGGTGTGGTGTGGCGTAGTGTGGTGTGGTGTGGAGTGTGGTGTGGTGTGGTGTGATGTGGCGTAGTGTGGTGTGGTGTGGAGTGTGGTGTGGTGTGGTGTGATGTGGTGTGGTGTGGTGTGGTGTGGTGTGGTGTGGTGTGGTGTGGTGTGGGGTAGGGGTGTGATGTGATGATGTACGCATGGCATGCCTTGCTGTGTTGACAGCCTCAAGGCGCACCCGTCCATGCATCCACCCCATGAGGGCGCGGCGCCGGTGCATGGCCAAGAGAAGTGGAGCCCGAAGCACAAGGTACGTGTGGGTGGGATGGCGGAATTGAAGGCCTGCTATGTCACATCTGACGAGCCTCAACGGAGGAAGACTGGCGAGCCAACTGGAGAGAGTCCTCGTGTCGTTCGTGATCACAGCTTGAGTACAGTACAGTGTGTAAAATGAATTATCACAAGTTTGTATGCTTTCTTCTGTCGAGTGCCTGCTCTCTCACCATCTACCAACCTGCATCGTTGATGGCACGGCTTCTAGTGCCAGTCTCACCGTGCCAGCAGCAGCTACCAACATCATCTGGCAGCTACCAACATCATCTGGCAGCTACCAACATCATCTAGCAGCTACCAACATCATCTGGCAGCTACCAACATCATCTGGCAGCTACCAACATCATCTAGCAGCTACCAACATCATCTGGCAGCTACCAACATCATCTGGCAGCTACCAACATCATCTGGCAGCTACCAACATCATCTGGCAGCTACCAACAACATCTGGCAGCTACCAACATCATCTAGCAGCTACCAACATCATCTGGCAGCTACCAACATCATCTGGCAGCTACCAACATCATCTGGCAGCTACCAACATCATCTGGCAGCTACCAACAACATCTGGCAGCTACCAACATCATCTAGCAGCTACCAACATCATCTGGCAGCTACCAACATCATCTGGCAGCTACCAACAACATCTGGCAGCTACCAACATCATCTAGCAGCTACCAACATCATCTGGCAGCTACCAACATCATCTGGCAGCTACCAACAACATCTGGCAGCTACCAACATCATCTAGCAGCTACCAACATCATCTGGCAGCTACCAACATCATCTGGCAGCTACCAACATAATCTGGCAGCTACCAACAACATCTGGCAGCTACCAACATCATCTAGCAGCTACCAACATCATCTGGCAGCTACCAACATCATCTGGCAGCTACCAACATCATCTGGCATACTGTTGAGGAGGAGGTGTCTTACAACGTTTCCTTCTCGCCCTTTGTTCGTTCCCCATTCCCTTCCCTTCCACTCATCGTTGCTCCAATGCAATGTCCCACACAGCAGCACCACCGGCACCCACACAATGTCCCTCCAGCACCACAATCTCCCCTCTCCCCTCCACTCATCGCCTGTACGAGCTCGTGGTTCGCCACTTTCCAGCAACGGAATCGCAGCCAGCAGCACCTTCACCTCACAGCACAACTTCCCTCCCCTTTCCCCATCCCCCTCCCCCCTTCCCCCCCTCCCCCTCCCCCTCGTCCCATCACCCCCACTCAGCACCTGTACGAGCTCGTGGTGAGGCACTTCCTGGCGACGGTATCGCAGCCAGCAGTGGGTTTTGAGACGATCGTGACCGTTGATATCGCGGGGGAGGCGTTCAGTGCACGCGGGCTCATGATCACAGCGGTGAGCTGCCACAGACGCTAAGGTTGATGATGTTTGTGGCCGGGAGTCAAAGCACACAAAACATGTATTTTCCCCTACCCTTTTCTTCAAATTTCCCCATGGCATTGCCTTGTTGACGTCCCCTCGTTAATTCTTCTCACACATCTTTCCTTCGTCTCTCAAATCTCCTGTATTTTCAGGGTTTGGTTTTCCTCCTCCCTCCCTTCCCAGTGCAACTGGCTGTGGTGGTAGGTAGTACGTGAACCTCCTGGTGCGTGCGTGCACACAAGCCACACAGGTGCCGGGACGACTCGAATCTCCTGGGGCGCGCACAAACCAGTCACCACCTTGCTTTCTGAGATGTGGCACATGCACCACTCCTCATTCATCACCTCCTCCTTTCCTCCCCTCCCCCACCCAAGCGCAACTACCTGCACGTCTACCGCTAGGACTCCTGGGGGACACACACAAGCAAGTCAAGTGCCAAGCCGACGCATAGCAGCACACCCATTCATAACCCCCTCCTCCCCTCCTCCCTTTCTCCCCTCACCACCCCCCTCCCCCCCCAGCGCAACTACCTGAACGTGTACCGCTAGGACTCCTGGGGCACCTCTGTGATCCTATCCCTTGTTCCTACTCCACCCCTCCTCCCCTCCTCACGCCCCTCTCCCCCCGCCACCAGCGCAACTACCTGGAATGGACTGGACGTTTTCTGTTGCGAGTCTGAGGAACTTCCTTTGATCCGATCCCTTGTTCTTTTCCGTTCACTGCTTCCCTCCTCCCCCCCCCACACAAGCAAGTGATGCGTCTACACATAGCGCTCAGACCACACACATTCATAACCCTAAACCCTAAATCCTAAACCCTTGCCCTTATCTCCCCCCCAGCGCAACTACCTGGACGTCTACCGCTACGACTCCTGGGGCGCACACACGCTGCCGGCCTTCCAGACCGGCCAGCAGTTCACCCCCACGGACCTCGAGCTCAGGTCCGGACGCACCGAGCCTCCGCCGCTGCTCTCCGAAGCTGACCTGCTGGGGCTGATGGACAAGGTGGGTAGGCGGGTGAGTGCGTGGGTGGTGGGAGGGTGGGTGGGCGGGCGGGCAGGCGGGTGGGCGGGTGGATGGGTGGGCGGGCGGGCGGGAGGGCGGGCGGGAGGGCGGGCGGGCGGGCGTCAATGTACTGCTCGTTGATCCCGGTTAATGGCACCGCGAGGTGCATGTGAGATGACTGGTGGCTGAAAGCCACGGGGCATCCTGTGTTGACTCGCCCAGGACCGTGTCAAGAAGCTGCTGGACCGCTGCTCTTGTTGCGCTGATGCCATGCGCCTACGTAACTGAGCTGGCACCCATGTCACCCCCCCACCCCATTGGCAGGCGGGCATCGGAACGGACGCCACGATGCACGACCACATCAAGAAGCTGCTGGACCGCTGCTACGCCACCAAGGACGCCAACATCCGCCTCAAGCCCACGCCTCTTGTAAGTTGACCCAAGAGAGAGTCAGGATGACGTGCCTCTGTGCTTCTAAGTCGACTTCCAAACACGGGCAGTTCATGTCAAGGGGCTGCTATGCCACCAAGGACTCCTGCAACCACTTCAATCAAGCGCACGCCCCTCGTGGGTTGGTGTGAGTTGGTGTGAGTCCGTGTGAGTCGGTGTGAGTCGGTGTGAGTCGGTGTGAGTCGGTGTGAGTCGGTGTGAGTCGGTGTGAGTCGGTGTGAGTCGGTGTGAGTCCGTGTGAGTCCGTGTGAGTCGGTGTGAGTCGGTGTGAGTCGGTGTGAGTCGGTGTGAGTCGGTGTGAGTCCGTGTGAGTCGGTGTGAGTCGGTGTGAGTCGGTGTGAGTCGGTGTGAGTCGGTGTGAGTCGGTGTGAGTCGGTGTGAGTCGGTGTGAGTCGGTGTGAGTCGGTGTGAGTCGGTGTGAGTCGGTGTGAGTCGGTGTGAGTCGGTGTGAGTCGGTGTGAGTCGGTGTGAGTCGGTGTGAGTCGGTGTGAGTCGGTGTGAGTCGGTGTGAGTCGGTGTGAGTCGGTGTGAGTCGGTGTGAGTCGGTGAGAGCCGGTGTGAGTCGGTGTGAGTCGGTGTGAGTCGGTGTGAGTCGGTGTGAGTCGGTGTGAGTCGGTGTGAGTCGGTGTGAGTCGGTGTGAGTCGGTGTGAGTTGGTGTGAGTTGGTGTGAGTTGGTGTGAGTTGGTGCTTCTGGGTCAACTCGTAATATTATATTGCTTTCCGTTCCTTCTTTTTTCCTGTTGTTTGCTGCTCTGCGAGGTTCCCGTGCTGCTCTGGGGTTTGAGCTGTGTGCGTGTGTTTCCACTTGCCTTTGGTATGTTTGCGTCCATTTCCATTCCATCTCTATTGCCCAACACAGGGCGAGGCACTAGTACTGGGGTATGACAACATGGGGTACGAGCTGTGGAAGCCGCACCTGAGAGCACTGATGGAGAGGGACATGCGGCTGGTCAGTGAGGGGCGCAAGAGCAAGGCGCAGGTGCTGGCCGACACGCTCCGAGCCACCAAGGCTGCTTTCATGGACGTGAGTGCCGTCTAGTGCGGATTGTTAAATGGCAGCGCGTTTGGAAACCATGAAGTATTGTAGCTGTGTCGAAGAAGCATGTGTGTGAGAAGCAACTGAGCAATGGAGGTGTGACGTAACAAGTGATTTGGTCAATGTTAAACGGCAATTCGCTAGCTTATGCATACAGATCCACGCAAACCAAATCGGATAATTATTGCTTCCATATTGGCGGTTTTTCTTTGGAGTCCTCTTTTTTTCTCAAAAAGACCGTGCAGCAGCATTGCTGTTCTCTCCCTTTCCATCACACTCCCTCGCTTTCCCCTCATTCTTGCCCACCTCGCTTCATCTTCCTTGCATTACGAACCTCAGGGCGTCTCCCCTACCCTAACACGACTCCCCTGCCCCATGATTTTCCATGTCATCCACGCTTTCCTTGCAGGCGAGGGAGCAGCAGCAGAAGCTGATTGATGCGCTGGCTCTCTTCTTTGAGAGGTGAACCCCTCAAGCCCACCAGACCATGCCATGTTCACAGTCACTTGTCGTCATGTTCACAGTCACTTGTCGTCATGTTCACAGTCACTTATCGTCATGTTCACAGTCACTTGTCGTCATGTTCACAGTCACTTATCGTCATGTTCACAGTCTCTTGTCGTCATGTTCACAGTCACTTATCGTCATGTTCACAGTCACTTATCGTCATGTTCACAGTCACTTATCGTCATGTTCACAGTCACTTATCGTCATGTTCACAGTCACTTATCGTCATGTTCACAGTCACTTCACGTCATGTTCATAGTCACTTGTCGTCATGCTCCCTAGTCGCTTGAATGCGTGAGTGGCTTTTGATGCAATTCCTTTGACACATAAGCTCCAACCAATCCCACCAGAGCTTGTTATCTTGTTGCTGCCTGAGCCACTTGTGACTGTTAAATCACGTTACCACCACTCTGCCTCCCACTTTACACTCCCACAGAACCAATCAAGCAGCAGATGGAGGGGGGGGGCAGGGCGGAGGAGGGGGAGGAGGTGGGGGAGGAGGGGGAGGGGGAGGGGGGCAGGTGGTGGGGGCAATGGGGCCATGCCCCAAGTGCCGCACTTCCCACCTTGTGCTAAAACAGCGACCGGTGAGTTTTACGTTCGAGCCGACTCAAAAGCCACATGATTTTTAAGCAGCAACCGGTGAGTGAGAGGGTGTTGTGTTGACCTCGGTTGTTGTTCTCAAGCAACGACCTCCTTCCCCTTCCTATCCTCCTCCCTCCCACCCCATCTCATCGCCTGTCTTTCACGTTCTCGCGACTTTGTAGAACCGCCAGACACATGTGGTTCTGTGACTGCATGATCCGAATGCTCCTGCATCGTGGCATCCCCTTCTTTGTTGAAATCACTTTCGAGAATTCTCCCAAAAGTGATTTCTTTAGAGTTTCAAAAGTGAATGCATGGTCCGAAGGCTCCTGCATCGTGGCATCCCCTTCTTCATAACTCCCCTGTGTCCTCTTCAGATTTCCTTCCATTCCATCTCACATCTCTCTCCATCCTGAATCCTCCATCCTCCATTCTCGTGCCATGCTCCTCCCGTGCTCCCATGGGCAATCAGGGCGGCAGCTTCATGGCAGGATGCTCTGGCTTCCCCCTTGTGAGCTCCCACCCCACTCACTCCCTGCACCTCTGTTCTCTGCTCTAGGCCACGAGTCCACATGTGTGCATAGGCTGATCCCAACCACCGAAGCCCATGTCCGTGCGTGGGTTGATCTGTTGAGTAGTATCACATGAGTGACCTGGTGAATATCGCAGGAATAAATGAGTGACGTGGGGATTGATTGATTCCTTTGTGGGACAAACCAACCAACGAGCAGTTGTTTCGCTCCACCCCGAGCATTCATTACTGAATGAACTCTGTGAGGCGCTTCACTGCTCACTGTGCTGCAGTCACTTGATTGCACATCCTCCGTTGCTCATTTGCCAACCTGCCTTGACCTCCTCCTCCCGCCCCCTGAAACCCCTTGTTCCCCTGCCTATCCCCCTCACACCCACCTATACCCCCCACTCCCACTTTCACCAACCTTACTCCCCTCTCCACCTTCCCCCGCTCCCCCTCACACTGTAGAGAGGCTGTGTGGATGTTATCTGCTCTGGTCAAGGTGATGTCTGAGTCGACTCAACCCCTACCTGTCCCACACTCCCACCTCTACCTTCAATCCACCAACTTCTCTCAATCTCTCCACCCCCCCACTCCCCCTCACAGTGTAGAGAGGCGGTGTGGATGCCATCTTCTCTGGTCAACGTGCGTTTGACTCACGACTACCTTCCCCTCTTCCCCTCTTCCCCTCTCCCGCCTCCACCTCCCCTTAATTCCCCCTGGCAGTGCAGAGAGGCGGTGTGGATGCCGTCTGCTCTGGTGGAGGCAACTCTGGCTGACTCACACTGCCCCAACTGCCGCCCAGGTAGTGCTGCCAACCAACTGCCGCCCAGGTAGTGCTGCCAACCAACTGCCGCCCAGGTAGTGCTGCCAACCAACTGCTGCCTACTGCTGCCGCCAAGTGCCACCCCGTAGCAGTTCAAACATTCCTCTTCGTCATTCCACTTCGTCATCCTCTTCGTCATCCTCTTCGTCATCCTCTTCGTCATCCTCTTCGTCATCCTTGTCGGAGATACAGCTCTACCCTCATCATCTGCCTTAATCCTCATGCTCTTCGTCCCTTAGCTCCTTCGGTTGCCTCAGCCACTCTCTGCCCCCTCCTGTGCCCGTGCTCGAGCGGCTTGAGCGCGGGTCACAGGACCAGTACGCTGAGGCCCGGTCCCTCTGATCTCTGCAGTGTTCGTCTGATGTTCCCTCAGCTGCGCTCCGGTGTCGTTTTCCAAGACCAGCACCCCTGAGGGGCGCACCTCCTTGACTTTCCAGCGGATGGTCCCCAACCCCACGTCAAGGGTGTCCTGCTTAGCCCTCTTCAGATAGACTTCCTGTCCTTCGCAGACATCCTTTGCTGTTCTTCCCTCCCCTTTGTGTTGCCTCTGTTCGTATCTTCTTGCGTCCCTGAGCTGCGCGGTGTGCAGATTCTCCAACGCGGCTGGCATCATGTAGCGCATGTAGCGCGCCCTCACCTCGGACAGGGCTACCCAGTTCCTGATCGTGCCCGCTGTCACTGTATCTGTCAATACTCGTGGTGCTCCCACTGGCAGAATCGGCTCTCGTCCGAACAGCAGGCTATACGGGGAGTGATCCTTCAACGCTGCCTGCTTCCCGAACCTGTACCCTGCCGCGATCCAGTCCAACTCCTCATCCCAATCCCTCTTCCTCTGCTCCCCGTAGGCCCGCAGCCCCCGCTTGAAGGTTTGCACGGCTCTCTCAGTCAGCCCATCACTCTGCGGGTGATAGCGGGAGGTCTTTCGGTGCGTGATGCCAGACTCCGCCAGCAGCTTCTTGAACTCCCCCTGGAACTCTGTTCCCTGGTCTGTGAGTACCTCCCCGCATGCTCCAAATCGGCACACTACTTGCGCTTTGAAGGCTGCTGCAATGTGCCTCGCGCTCTTGCTAGGGATCGCTCGCACCTCCAGCCACTTGCTCACATGTTCCACCATGAACACGATGTACTGATTCCCGCTCCGACTCAGTGGCAGCTCTCCCGCGAGGTCCAGGGACCAACGGAACCCTAGTCCGCAGATTGGCAGTGAGTGCAGCTCTGCTTTGGCCTGCGTCAGGTTTGCTTTGCTCCTCTGACACGCCTCGCACCCCTCCACCCACTCTTTTACTTGCCTGCGCATCCCTTCCCACCACCAGCCCGTCTTCAGCAGGTGTACGGTCCTCTCGTGCCCGAAGTGCCCCAGCTTAGTGTGCACTTCCTTGATCACTGCTTCACGGTCCTCGGGCGCTGGCACCAGCTTCCACCCATCCTCCGTCTTGATCTGCAGCTGCTGCTGATACCACCTGTAGTGGTGCCCTCATGCCCTTACTCTCTCAGGCACCGTTTCATCCTCCTCGGTTTCTCCCTTCACCCATTGCATTGCCTTTGCATCCAACCAGATGTCGGTTGGCCCCTTACTCCCCTTCGCCCCCGTCTGCTCCACCTCTCTTGCCAGTAAGATCAAGGTCCGTGCCGGCTCTTGCTCTGTCTCTTCCGTCCCCAGGGTGGCCTGTTTCGTTTCCAGCGGCGGTGGATTGCGGGAGAGGCCGTCAACGTGCTGCAGCGTCTTCCCCGGCCTGTGCCTGATCTTGAAATCATACTCCTGCAGCTTCACTGCCCACCGCGCGTTCCTGCCTGTCAGCCATGGTGTAGTCATCAGCCAGGTGAGTGGCTGATGGTCAGTGACTAGGGTGAATTCTCGGCCCTGCAGGTATATCCGGAAATGCCCGACCGCCCACACTGCCGCCAGCCCTTCCCCAATGTATGAGCTATATTGTGCTTCCGCCGGGTTGCAGCTCCTGCTGGCGTAGGCCACCACCTTATCCACTCCCTCCACCTCCTGGCATAATATTGCTCCCATCCCTTGGCTGCTCCAGTCTGTGTAGAGGATGAAGGGCTGGTCTGCTGCTGGCAGCCGCAGCACTGTCGCTGTCTTCACGGCTGTCATGAGGTCTTGCAGTGCCTGTCTCTGCTCCTCTCCCCACTCCCATGCCTTGTCCTCCCGCAGCATCCCATTTAGTACTGTCGCTCGTTTGCTGAAGTTCGGCACGAAGCGCCTGTAGTAGCTGAGGAAGCCCAAGACCGCACGCAGCCCTGACTTGTCTCTTGGTTCCCTCAGCCTGTCCAGCACTTGCACCTTCGCTTGCTGGATACCAATCTGCCCCCCTGTGACCTCATACCCAAGATACTGCACTGTCCGCTCCCCCCACCTGCACTTGTTGGGATGGCAGGTGAGCCCTGCCCCTTCTATGGCGGTCAATGTCCTCTCCACGTCCTCCAGGTGCTGCTGTTCGGTCAAGCTGAAGATCACGACATCATCAATATAGCACGCCGCGTGTTCTATTCCCCGCAGCACCGCGTCCATGACTCTCTGAAACACCGCCGAGGCGTTCCTCAGAC